GCCTCCAAACAAAAATGTCTGTGAGTGTGCGTGTGTGCGTAATCTTGATTGTCTTAAATTTATTGCTGGCTCACCTTTTTCACCCACTCACCCACCCACTTAACGACTGCAAAAATATTCAACTTAATTACATTAAATTGGTCCAAGCCAAGCAATGATGATTTGTGTGTGTGGATGTGAAGATTTTTCTGTTTTCAGCTGTTAGACAGGTTGTGTTCCTTTCCTTTCCATCGACGACTTTAGGATCTTTTAATTGTTGACTGTTAACAAAGGAAAGCAATTAATGTGATAGCTGATGGTAATAAGAGTATACCGACAATGCTACACTACTACACGTGTATAATATTATTTTCATTTTATATATGGATTTGTGTGAGTGTTCTTGTCATCAACTGAGGTGTATGTTTGTGTGCGTCTAAGTATGTTGACTGAATCCACTTATATACACTCATTTGTTGATGCTACTTAACGTATATGAGGCTTTGCTTTTTGTTTGTTCTACTTAATTATATGGAATCATTTATAGATACGAATTCAAATGAAACCACTAAGAAAATTACCGAATTCGAGCAATTACAAATGGTATCAATACGAGGGCTACTATATATTTTATTTAGTGTTTCCTGGTTCATTCTTACATTTCCATTGGAAAGTTTGACTTTTTAGCATTAACGCACTCGGTATGGTACTACCATTTTTCACAACTTACAACAACAACTTTGTATGGCAATGAAAAAGGTAAAATGTTGGCATAAGTATTAAGTCTTAACCTTTACCCAATAAAAATGAAAATCCCTTAAATCATCCACCCATCCTCTCGTAGTATCTTAATGCTTTGATAAAAAAAAAAAAAAAACATTTAGAAAAGAAATTGTTGATAACAAATAATTAAGAATTATTGATCAATAATATTTACCCCATTCAAAAAATATAAACAACGTTATTTATGATAAAACATGACTTTTAGAAATGTTCTTGGACATCGGAAAATTTTGTTTCCCAAAAAAAGTATTCTTAAAAAGTAAATATTTAATCTGATGCTTGGACATTTCTTCCACAAGCATATCGCTCAAAAGAAGGCTAGTGTCGACTGGACCAAAAACATTTTCAAAAAACTTCAAAATTTCGACCTAACCGAACATTTTATAACATCGATCTTGTCGAAAACTTTATATGGTGACTACGTCACTGCAAATTGTTTGCTAGTAGGTTGTTTATTTGAGAAAACGAAAAACTGAAATACAGACACTCAGTATGAAAAACTGGTACCTTTGGACGCTAGAACATTTCTATGAATTTCAACATAGTCAAACGGCTGAAAAACATGCTCAAACCACATATTAATTGGAGGTAGCGCTCTATGGGGGGCTACCCCGAAACATGGACCAATACAGGTAATACGGTACCCAGTTTGGGGAAATCACGATTGTTCCGCTTCAATTTTCCGGTCAATTATAAACACTAGATTAACGTATGTTTAGTATATACCTACTTTTACGGAAGTGAGCCAATTTGACTCACCCAGAAAATTTTTTTGTAGAAAACTCTTCCAATTAAGGGAACCCCATTTTCGATTTTAATTTTTCAAGATTTTCAATGGGCTGGTAAATCAATATGAATGCTTGTTAATGTTTGTAACTTTGCACATATATATTTGAAGATTTAAAAGAGAAGACAAATAATTTACAAAAAAATGTTGTTATTGTTTTGTTGTTGTTTTTTGTAATTAAAGAAAAGTCCTTATTTTTGATACCGGGCATGACTCCCCACTGGAACATCGGAATCCGAAAATTCCAACGGTGTTAGAAAGAGCACATGTCTGTCCCTCGTATGAACTAGGATTATTGACTTCGCTCTAAAATTAACAAAATGAAAAAATATTTTTGGAAAATCGCCGATTTTTGACCAAAAACCAAGTTACAAAATAAGGAAGATCTTCACCGATTGGCTTTATCCTAGTTCATACGATAGCTATACACTCACAGAGAAAGGTGTAAAAATTTGGAATCGAGTGGGTTATTAGTTTTTGAGTTATCGTGCCCGCCATTCACAACTGTCACCTTGTCTGAATCCTCGTTCAGTATTGAAGGGACCTCGAGGTCCATTTCGTCTTTTACTGCTGACCTTGTGTCAATTAAAGATATCTTGCATAGCCGTATTAATTTTGCAAGAATGTTGAACGCAGATATGGCTTTAAACACCTCTGAACGCATAGCTCTGTCGAATGTGGCTTTAGAGTCGATGAATAGGAGGAATGTGTTGTTGTGTGTTTTGTGGTTATTTTCCATGTGAAAATCTGGTCTATTGTAGATTTGCCAGGTCTGAAAATAATCCTTTAATTTATTTCGATATTACATATGCAAGATCAAACATGCTTCTTTTGACGAAAATGTGATGGAAAAGATCTATTTTTGATAGTGTGTGTGGACTTGAGACGTCAACGTCCGCCTCTAGAAAATATAGCTTTAAACGTCAAAGTGAGTCGCAAATTAAAACAAAATATAACCTTTAGAAAATCCGAATTCTAACCCAGACTGATAGTAATGATAATTACCAAGCTATGCCTATGGGTTACAAATGTGTCGAAGCTACCCCAAGTAAGGGAACCTGCGTCAAATTTGACTTTTTGGACAAAACTGTAAAAATATGTAACTAATACAAATTTATCATATGTTTTTGCTACGAGTTTCTATAATTAAGTATCAGAGAATGATCTGTTCAATAAATACTGAGATATAGAGATGTAAACAAAAAGTGCCGAAGCTGCCCCAGTCTCTCCTTCATTTTATTACATTTTTGCGGCAGCTAAAATAAGTTTTCAACAACTTCCGCCACCAATTGTATTTATGATTGCATTATGGATTATCCCATATAGAAATTCTCTATGTATAATTGTGTTAATATTACACAGATATCAGTTAAAATTAATGCCGAGAGTATAAATACAAAATTAACTATCTAACCTGCCTTCGTTTTGAAGAAGCTTAGGGCGGTTTCTATTCGGTCCAAAATAATCTTGAATCTTTTGTTAAAATGTGTGTGCACACACATACATACATATATATGTTACAAACATACACAAACAACCGATTTAAAACTGTTGTTGTGGCTAAGTTGTTGTTCCCCAACAACAGAACATTCAAAATGCCTAATTCAATTCCACTGACTCAATTACCTCTTGAAATAATAACAATAGCTAGCTATGTCCTTACGTTCTTGTTCCTTCTTTTTCCTTGAAGGGCTTTAAAATTGTACAAATGTCAGCAATATGCGGTCCAAATTCGTTGTATTAGAATTTATTACCTATAATGTCTGGCAGTTAATGGCAATTAATGTGGCTGAAAATTAGATAGCATCTTTTGAAACATTAATTTTCCTGTGGTCTGTGCGGTTCAACAATCATGATAAGGTAAATGATGTTGGCAGTTAAAAATTATTTCAACACTTTGGATGGGTTGTTGTTCTTAAATTATGAATGACGTTTTCGTGTTAAAATTTAATAAAGGATATTTCTAGGGAGTGAAAGAGGGAGGAAAGTTTAACAGACAAAATATTGGTTCGAAATTTTTATACATTCTAGACTACATTTTAATAAAGTATGTTATTTTTTCTTCATATATAAAAATTACATTTCTATAATTTTTATACGTGGTTTCAAATTTGTTTCATTTTAGTTATTAAGGGATTTTAATTTTTCATTCTCGATTTTAATTTTTCAAGATTTTCAATGGGCTGGTATATCAATACCAATGCTTGTTAAGGTTTGTAACTTTGCACATATGTAATTGAAGATTTAAAAGAGAAGAAAAATAAGTTACAAAAAATTGTTGTTATTGTTTTGTTGTTGTTTTTGTAATTAAAGAAAAGTCCTTATTTTTGATGGCGGGCATAATAACTCCTCAATGGAACATCGGAATCCGAAAATTCCAATGGTGTTAGAAAGAGTACATGTCGGGCTCTCGTATGAACTAGGATTATTGACTTCGCTCTAAAATTAACAAAATGGTGGATCTTTGAAAAAATATTTTTGAAAAATCGCCGATTTTTTACCAAAAACCAATTTAAAAAATATTGAAGATTTCACCGATTGGCTTTATCCTAGTTCATACGATAGCTATACACTCACAGAGAAACGTGTACAAATTTGGAAATCGATTGGGTTATTAGTTTTTGAGTTATCGTGCCCGCCATTCGCAAAAAATGTTTAGAGATAAACGCGTTTAATGTTTGAGAAGCCCTTCAGCCGTCTCTTGATGCTGACACAGTAAATTGACCCCGAGAATGGGGGGTCCCTTTAAATCAACAAATTGTGTAAAAAATTGTTAGGGTAAAAAAGTCATTGGGTGTATGGTTCTTTTTATCAGACCCTAAGGGTCATTTTTAGATCTGACCTCGTATACCATTCCAATAAAATATCAAAATAGAATACATTTGTCCAACTCTTATTCGTTTTGAAATTTGTTATATTTTTAAATCTGTTTTGTAAAAACAAACAAACCCCAACTTTCAAACTAATGATGTAGTCTTTAAAGAATTTTGTGTGGTTCCAATTCCTCTATGATATCTTTAAATAAATTGGGATTTACCCACAATCTATATTATAAACATGGAGTTGTTGCGTTTGAAAACATAGAAACATATGACATCGATAACTGGTTTTACAACAATACAATGCCCAATTCAATCAAATGCAAATAACCTCGTATCATTAAACAAAAACCACGATGAAAAATTTGTATTTGTTTTAGTTAAAAGCAGCACCGAACGCACTATAAATATTAGCCGATCAAATAGGGTTTAATTGCCCGGTATAGAATGACCCTCGAATATACAGATATCCATTTACTACACTCGAACATAATCACACATAACTTTTTTTAATTTTATTTATTTTATTTATTTATATTTTTTTATGTAAAAAAAATACCGGCACACTTATAGATAACTAATTGAATAAATTAACAGCAACGATTTAATGTAAAGAAAATAGAAAAATAAATCTATTTCTTGAGCCAACCTCCGCCGAAACCACCGCCATAGCTGCTAGCATAGCTGGAAGAATAGCTTGAGGAGAAGCCACCGCCAAAACCACCGCCTAAACCACCTCCTAGTCCACTACCCAATCCACCACCCCATCCACCACCATGACCAAAGCCATGCTTATAGGGAACACCAACTGGCACTGCAACGGGCACGGCTACAGGAGTTTGAACGGGCACTGGAACTGGCACTGGTACAGGTTGTTGGACAGGAACTGGAACGCCTACTGGAACCCCCACGGGTACACCATAAGGTATTCCATAACCACCGCCAAAGCCGCCACCAAACTTCCTATGTGCAGAAATAGAGTTGATGCACAGCAACACCACGGCCAAGGCAATTGTCGATTTTATTATTGTTTTCTGGAATAGTTAAACCGGTCGTTATTAATGAGGCTAGTTTGTGTGATGGATAGTTGAGTTTGATTTTGATAAATATATTCCGATAGTTTCTTTTTGTTTGCTTACCATTTTAAATGTCTCGCTGAATAACTTCAACTAATTCGCATTTAGAGTTCAGCGCTTCTTTTATATGTCGTTTAAGACAAACAAAAGTTCAAAGACTTGTTTTTTATGTTTTTGAATGAAGATGAAAAAAACATATGAACATATGTTCGCCCATGTTGTGGTCACAGTAGTAGACAAAATTTTGTGGTTTTATATTGATTTATTAAATAGTTTTCTGAATATTAACGAAAATACCAGAACAAATTGTCGAATGATTATAAACTCATGTTTGAAGATGGGGCTCATCGCTGATCTCTAGTATCTCCTTCACGAATGTTAAACGTTTTTTGATCCTCATAAGTTCTGTTAGTTTTTTGTTGGTATATTCTCCCCAGAAGCTATTTATAGCTTCTTTACAAAAAACCTTTCATACCCAAATGTCCCTTGTGACAATTCGAAGTTCTTACGTTACCAGCGATACGACCCCAATGAGAAGTACGTTTCGTTGGCGCCTACAACTACAACCTCAACGGACATTGGCATAAATTCCCCACTAATAAAAAGGTTGTGTTTTATAAAAACGACAAACTGGGATTCAGCCTGACTATTTTGCAAAAACAAAATACAAATGGTATCCCAAATAAACCGCCAACACTACCGTTTTTAAAATTTTAAAAATTTTAAGTTACCACACATAGACCAAGTCCGATGATGGAATATGTTGGGTAACTTCTCTTGATGACTCCCCATTAATACAAACTTGTAGACTTTATATTTATACTTAACTAGCTGGACCCGTGGCGCTTGATTAACAGTTGTGATATTACAAACAAATTGGCTTGATTTATCTCAATAGGATTATACACTAAAATATTTTCTCCAATATTCACATGTTTTTCATTAATCGTTCAAAGACCAATACAATCATTTATTCCCATTTTCACCAACCGTTATGTCTGTATTGTCATCTGATTCCCCAAAATATCCTCGCACCGATTGATATCGCTTAGATCCCTGCTGTATAATTCCTGTTAAGGTTTTTAAAAGAACGCATTATCACATTACAATATTTTTACCGAACCTAGATTTAGTCTTGGTCTTAACTGTACAGACCTTAGTATTTTTAAGAAAACCAAGATCAAGACCGAAGATAGAACTTGTGGCGATTGAGTTAGTCGTTTTCTCCATACATCTTCGAAATAATAGTTTTTGTCATATCAGTTTGATCAACTAAACTTACTTACTTAACTTAAGTAATGGAAACATTTTGTTTTCAGTTAAGCTATGATGATAACTCACCACAGATTTCAGATTTTTATAACTTTTAATCCGACATCAGTATTTCGCTGCTGGATATCTCCCAATTATTGCTGATTCATATTTATTTTCCCCAATGGTTGTAGAATTATTAAAATTTCAAAAAAAAAATGTTCCTTAACTGAAATGTTTTTTTTTCTAAATGACAAAATGTAAAAATTGTAATGTCAATAATTTTCATTTTACACAAATTTAATTCAAATATGTGAAGATAATGGCTGATGTGACTGACTGTGAAAATTTCTGCTAAGTCAATTCAGCGATTTTTGTGTTTACAACCAAAAGCGTTTTTTTTTCAATATAGGTGAATTAAATTGAATTGGGAGTAAGTTCTCCCCATTGCTTCACGCCAATTTTTATAGGGATAATGCGTACCTGTAACCAATTTACTCAGGCAAATTTTGAAGTGGGAATCTGTAACCCTTCTTAAGATATAAGCATAGAATGTCTATGTTATTTCATAGTTGGGAATACTTGTGATGGGATAAATCGACATCCACGCGGAATTTTAGGATTTTATCTACCCTGTATTTTTGTATTGGGTAGCATCAGGGGCTGTAAAAATCTCAGTAAAATCTCTTCAGCGGTTTTTGACTTTTCAAACAAAATTTTGTTTATTCTCTATATGTAGATTATTAAAATGCAATGGGGATTGCATTTCCCCCTAATGTACCGCCCTCATTTTTGTATGGATAATGTGTATTTACACCTACGTTGTTCAGACACATTTTGAAGCCCGTACCTGTAACCGTTTCCAAGATATACGCATATTACATGTTCAGAAATTTTGAGGTATGTTTACTCTTGATGCTATAACTCCGCATCCACGCGGAATTTTAAAAGTTTATATAGCCTATGTTACTTTCAGGCCATGCCCCGAAATACAGTGTAAATCTCATTAAGATCTGTTCAGCGGTTTTGGCGTCTATCGGTAACATACAAATAAACAAATTTTTTTCTATTTTATATATATAGATACAGATTTATTGCAACTATATGCTATGTAGATTCTGGTACCTGCCTCAAAAAATATTACAATTTACAAATATTATAAATGTAATAAAAACTTTAATTCGCATCGTCAGCAAAAAAAGCAGACAAAAGCCAGGATTAGAATATATTGAGTACTAAGCGCGGTTATGAAAACATATTTTTTCATGAAAAAAAATAAATTTAGAATATTTTATATGTAGCTTTAAGCGTGCATTTTTAGGGAATATTTTTATATAGCCATAGGCGTGAATTTTAAGAATATTATTTCATGAAGCCCTAATCGGGGATTTTTTAATGAATATGTTTTTCATTAAGCAGTAAGGGTGGATTTTTTAAAGAACATTTTTTCAAGTAACATAGCCATGGATTTTTTAAAGAATATGTTTTTAAGTAACATATGCATGAATTTTTTAAAGATCATTTTTTCCAAGTAGCATAGACATGGATTAAAAAAAATTGTTTTCAAGTAACATAGGTTTTTTTTGGATTTTTGTTTAAAGAATGTCATTTTCTAGGGTATATTGTTTCATGAAGCCCTAAGCGTGGATTTATGGTTCGAAAATCCATGAAGCCCTAAGCGTGGATTTTTTTCGAGGGGCCTTAAGCGGGAATTGTTTTATCTCGACTAGCGGAGTCCATCTAGACATGAGTGTCCGTCCATTATAATTTGCATGTAGGACCGGTTCTGGCCAAAGGTTCTGGCCAATTATGACAAGAAAATCACGAAATTTTACACATAGAAAGGGGTCTGATTATGGAAGAAGCACGGTTGTTTTTATGTAGGTAGGGCAACATTTAGCGGACCAAATAGACTGTGTGTGAAAAATGCAAAATTTTAATTCTATGTCGTACATATTTACTCCTGAAGGACTTATACCCGAGAAGTTGATGGAGTGGTTGACATTTAAAGTGCTACCAATTATATTATTGCATGTATTTGGATAATAGTTACCATACTAGAGGGACAAATGTAGTGTTTGCTTTAGGTTGTGGTTATGGTCAATATGATCTGATGATATTTCGGGGATGGAATAGATCGAAAACAAACGGTAAGTTTTTCTAGTTGCTCTAGACGCCACAATTATTAGCCGAAAAATACAAATGTTCCATGGGGAAGGCGATCTGTCTAACCAATGTAAATAGCTGGTTAGACAGATTAGCGGTCAATATTTTTAGGGACCAAATGAACCATAACCAAAATTTGAATCTTATGGAGTATATTTTTACTCTGGGAGAATATGATCCGAAAAGGAAGCCGCGGAGGAGCCATTAATCGGCCAAGAGAGTGCAACGAGCATAAATCTGATATTGTTTTATCGATACCTTACGAGAAATCTAACAGTACAGCCATCTGCCCAAAAAAATAATGGATTTATTTTTCCTTGACCTAATATTAGAAGGTCTTGCCATAGAAGACCAGAGGTTGAAAATAGCTTTAAGTAGACTCATGCCTCAAATACCCTAATCGATACCGGATCATTCATCTCTGAAAATACCACTATGATTTTAAAGATCAGCTCCTACAATAACTATTTTGTCGCCTTTAATGTAACCCACATCAGATATAATACACTCATCCCAGTGTGTTCTTCAATCCTCGAAACGCTATTTTTGGTATAGCTAACAGTTCCGGTTTCGGCTATTCTTTCATCTCCATAATCCTTCATCGATATCTCCAGTTTTGGGAAGTGGAAAAATACCAAGTCCTATTATATTGGTTTCGCAATATAGAAACAATCTTCGATGCCGTTCATGCTGTAAAAACTGATTGGCATGAGCCGAACGACAGCCAACATCTTAAATCTAATCTTTTTTTGTTTTCATAGATTGTGCTCGGGCAACCAGGACGAGCATCATCATAGACATTTTCTAAACATTCTTTAAACCGGTTATACCATAATTGAACTTGTGCTCTGGTAATCATAGACGCGTCATACGCCACAGTGAACATTTCGAATGGCGATACGCATTTAGTTTCAAATTTTAAAAGATTTTAAAATTTTTTATCACAATAGTATAATAGTTATATGCCTACATAACTATTATATTAAATTTGTTTAATCATTACTAAGAAATGATGAGGGTTTCTTAATAAAATTGAGAATTTAGAATATAGCGATCGACTATTTTTTGCGTTATGTTAATAAGGTGGATTTTATTAAATATTTAATTAATTGTTAAAGCTTGTTTGCATGACCACTGATGTGCTCAGTATTGAACAACTACTAGATCCGCTCAATAATACACAGCATGTGGACAGAAATGTCATTCAAAACACATAATGTGTATCAAAAGTATCGTACGGCCAACATAGAATGTCACCGTTAATTATTTGCACTAATTTTTTTAACTAAAATAACTTTTCTCCTAAAACAAAAATTCTTTTAGTACCCTTATAAATATTGACGTGGTGTAAAAAAGCAATCAATATTCACAATTTTTACAAAATATATTTAACTAATTAAAAAATTGCAAATTATTTCTTGGTTTTGAGGAAATCACCTCCGAAACCACCACTGTAGCTAGTAGAAGTAGCCACACTCTTCGAGTAAGTACCACCGAAACCAGCACCACCAAAACCGGGACGTCCATATGCACCGAAACCACCGAAACCAGCACCACCAAAGCCGGAACGTCCAAAGCCACCACCATAACCACGACCACCATACAAGTGTTTATAACCAACAACAACGGGTACAGCTACTGGAACGGCAGTATGCACTGGTACGGGGACTTTGACGGGAACAGCTACAGGAACAGGTCTATCAACTGGAACGGGAACCTTAACAGGTACAGGTCTGTCGACTGGTACGGGAACCTTGACAGGAACTGGAACGGCTTGTTTAACGGGAACGGGGACACCAACGGGATATGGTACACCATAGGGAACACCGATGGCGCCGCCACCAATGCCTTCCGAGTAAGCACCGGCGCTAGCACTTGCACTGGCGCTAGCTTGGGATCCACCGAAACCACCGCCAAATCCTCCACCATAACCACCACCAAATCCTCCTGCATTGCCGTAACCACCACCGCCAATGAAACCAGCAAATCCACAATCAATGGTAATGGCCAATACCAAGGCCAAAGTCAAGGTGGACGATTTACGCATCTTCAAAATTAGGCAAAAATAAATATTTTAAATATATATTTAAATGCTTTGGGATGCAAACACAAAATTCTACTTACCATTTTAAATATTTTCGGGAACTGCTATTGAACTGATTATTCAAATAAGACTGCGCTTATTTTATACTACGAACGAGAATGCACCAACCGATTCAAATCTTGCCTTCCGTATTGATCAAAGTCGTTTTAACAAAAGATATTAACTTTTGCATTATTATTAAAACACAGTGGCAATTGTATTTTTCCTACCAATTGCTTTTGATATTTAAATTTGAGAACACAAATTCGATTAGATGAAAAATAATTTAGAAAGTATTGGCGATTAAATTCTAGTTTTTTTTTAGATTGCTATAGAAACTATTGCAACGTATAATATATGAGGTGAACTATTTTAAATATAAATTATAACAGATTAAAGTTGATTGTTATGGTAAAATGATTTGTATTACTCGTATTTTTAAACGGATTATTGGAATGTATGCAACCGCAATTTTATTATTTGAACAAAACCTTTAAATATTAAACGTTTCTCGCTTTTTTAACTGAGCTGCTCTTTTGTAATCATGTTTACTGCTCTCACGTCACTTACTTTCTGGTGACTGATTTTTTCTCTGTTAACACACTTACCGGATATTCGAGTCAACGCATTTCCGATTACCTAGTTGCCTCTTCATTATTACCTGAATTCAATCCTCTGTATTCCAATGAAAAACGTTGCGTTTTTTCTAATGTTAAAAGGGATTTTCAGGTTTGTTGGATAAAACCGTATGAAAATGGAAAGTTCATATTAATTCAAAGAAAATGTTCAATGTTTGAGATAAATCTTCAGATCGTTATTTCACAATAAAGGGAAGGTAATGAAAAAGTGCAAAATGCTTTATATTGAGCCGGAATGACCTTTTTATACCTTTCATATACTGGCACTTACTTCCAATAAAATTTCCAATTCCACATAGAGCTATACTGTACTCCAGCGAATGATTTTGAAATCGTTAAAGAGAAAATATAACAAAAAAGTGGACTATATTATCTAAGGACATTTTACAATTGACAAGGCACCATAAATACTTTTTGCAGACACATTTTATATCAAAATCTGAAAATACCGTATGTCAAAGTTGGGGGTACCGTCATATGGCGACTACAATAAAAGGTTACGGAAACTGGTACACAAACCTTGGACCAATATAGATTTTCAATAGGGAGATTTTTAAACACAAGTAATTTTGGTAGAAAAATTCGCTACCTAGTTAGAACCCAAAATTCGAAATTACAAACCATTCGTTTACCAAACGTGCCGAAAATTCAGAAAAATATCATATTTGGGGACTATATAAAAACTATTTCCAATTTTCAAAACCAAACATTCTATGGATAGTCTTATAAACTGTGATTTAAATATGGATTTCGCAATAACCAACTATCCAGTAAATATAAAAATAACCACAACCATATCTATTTTGTGAAGTTTTGCGTATATAAAAATAAAAATAAGATTATCCATAAATTTACCGTAACTATTGATCCATCCTCATTTCGTGAGTTTCAAAGACCAAATCAGCATAGTCACGAGGTTTTAAGTGGAATTTATAAGCTTTAAGACACAATTCATTAGATATACTAGAATGAAATTGTAATGAAATGTTGGAGGGCTGTGAAATACTCATTTTTGAAATGCTCAAGTGGGTGGGTTCCCAATATCGATTTCACACAAATTAATAAAGTTGCGGATCTATGAAATTTATTTTTTTCCTTTTGGAAAATTCCATATTTTGAGAAACCGAGAAAATTTCTCCTTACTTGTAAAGGGAATAATTAACTGACATTTCTTTTTTTGTAATTATCTCTTTGAGCCCCGAATTTTTCTTCTAACCATAGAAGTATTGTCAAGGCACAGATTTAATGTAACTATCCTAAGTAGGATTTCAACAGAATTTGGCTATATCCTTGCATTCGTGTGATAAAGTGCAATCTTTCTGAAAAAGAAAAGACCAATATTGAAAAGCGCAACACTTGGCAAAATATTTGTTTCTTTTTTATAATAATCTAAAATAAAACCAGTGAGCGGAGCAGTATAGTCGTACGGGGCCGACCATATTATACCCTACACAACTTCCACGAAAATGTAACTCTCTGTGGTTCTATATTCTGAGCTTGGCTTGAACGCTCTTGATCTTACTAATATTCAGTACAGCGCTTCTAATTACATGTCCAGATTCCCTTCACCATGGGTTGTGTTGTGATCGACCCGAAAAAAAACACAAAACTAAAAAAAAATGTTCGGTCCACTTCATCCCAATATTATTATCAGATCATCATCTAAAATTATAGGCGTTATCCTTTACCATACATGGATCCTTATGGAAAATTTCAAAGCGATCAGCTCTATATTTTCGCCCTCTAGTGTGATAATGGTTTACTAAATAATATATAAATAGGTAAGCAACTGTAAATATGTAAGTGTAACTCCCACATCCGAGTACATACGACAATATGATCGGTATAAATTTAAAAGTCAACTACTCCTCTTGGATATACTGTCAACTTTTCGGGTCTATGTCCTTCAGAATACAAATTTTGTCGTTTTTCACACAAAAGTCAGGGTCCATTTGACCCCCTAATATTGATCGATCTTTAACAAAATAGGCATACTTATTCTTTCGCCCGATCCCCATCTACATGTAAAAAATTGCGATGTTTGGGCCATAATTACGGCCTCTGGAGCGACCAGAAAAAAGACAGCCTCGTAAACACGTTTCATAACTCATTTCTCATTGGACCTAGTTTCGATATTTTGAAGGTTTTAGCCGCATTCTCTGGGTTCTTCTAGGATGAAACATATTTATGATACATAGGTATTTTTCATATGGTACCTAACTTAGCCACATAAAGATAAGGTTCCCATTTACATTTTCGTACGATTTATTGTAAATTATGCTTTAAAGACTGCACGTTTGTTCTCAGTGTACACAAAATTTACAATACTAACACTTCTTATAAGAAACCCCTTGATATTCAAATCGAGGTTCTATATGAATAATAAAATAATAATTTTTGTATAATTTAAAATACGAAATGTGTTGCACTCAAACGATCCTACTTCTGTGAACCGATTTCCATGCTTATTTTTATCTTAAATAATTATTTAAGTGTGTCAATATAGATGGGATTGACTGTAGAATACCTATAAAAATACGCTTGCTTGCGAATGACTGTGACGTTTGTATATATGGATTTTTTTGAATATGCTAATTCTTTTGAATGTTTAATGATTTATGTGTACAGGTTTGTCGATGATGTCTTACTATAAATGTGATCAAATATATTTATAATAATGAGAGGCATGTGGTCACTAGGTACTTATTTTAATGTAAGCATTCGGGGAATTCTCTTTAATGTTTTTTGGACGTTACCGAAAGAAATGTGAAGTGTATATTAAATTTGTCAATCCGTTTGCAAAGCCTCGAAATATTCACCAGAGACCATATTAAGTGTCGGTCAATATTATTTTTTATCACAATAATGCTATGTGTAGACATGCCTGTTCGCCAATTTAAAGATGTGCAATTTTGAACATCGACTGTTACAAACCCTAAGATGTTTGGTATTGAAAATGTGATAACTCGGTCTACTTTTTATGTAAACCAGAATGTTTGGGATTTTCAATCGAATTGGATATTTAGGATTTCTTTGATTGTTAAATCTTTCTACATAAAATGTACCATATTGATAACTTCTAAATTTTGTATGTTATGAATGGAGTATTCGATTTGGAACAACAAATACACAATTTAAAACGAATAGTCATTCCTGTGTGGTCTAAACCCAGCATACCTTTATATTTATACTAACCATATATTCCCTACAATTTCTGTCAAGATTAGTGTATACTACACTCGATATGACATAGGCTGAGGGTATATATTTGTCGGCAACACTGACTGACACCTTTTTACATGTTTTATACTCTACACAACTCAAGAGTTAGTATGTCCATCCATCTGTCCATTAGAATTTGTAAACACAATACAGGCCTCAGTCATGGGCCAATCGTCGTTAAATTCTGCATGTAGGTCCGGATCTGACCAAAGAAGACGCTCTAAGGCCACAATTATGACCAGAATATCACACAGTCTTATGCGGAGGAAGGTATCTGACTAGGGAACGAGCATGTCTATTTATATGTTAATTGATCAATATTTAGCGTGTTAAATGGACTCAGCCTTATGTAAAAAAAACGGAAAATTTTACATTATCCCAGAGTAGTGTTTGACCGTTTCAGTGATAGCAATTATATTGGTATATGCACTCGAATGTGGGAGCTATAGGTTTACTCTACCAAATGTCCAATATTAGGATATACACTTAAGCCTAAGTGGCTTGATGTGCGGAAGAAATTTAGAAGAAGTCATCATTGGATTTGATTGTTTTTTTCTGTTCTGTTCCTTTGTGAAGTTCTTCAGTTTTTTTTATTCACATCCCCTAAGATTGGTTATTTCACGAAAGGTGGCATTTCCTAAGAATTGGGTTAGGAAGCCTGAGAAGGCTGGGTAGTGGCACAGGAAATATTCTCACGTTTCGCTGTCATCTCCACACGCTCTACAAATGTTGTGTATGTGTGCATGCAGGCTGTTATGCCCTGTCCCCTCGTTATTATAAAGAATTTTGTGGGTCAATGTTGCCCATTACCTCATTTCTAGACGCTTTACACCAAATGGTTTGACATTATTTACATATATTGTAGGTCGAGCGGTTGCACTTCTAGCGAGTATATTTGCTATCTCGTTTCCTGCTATTCCGATGTGACTCGGTACGAGACAATGTCGCGAGAAATTATTTGTGGCTTTTATACAGTCTAATAAAGTTTTAGCTTCGGAATATAGATCTGCAGAAAATTAGAGTTCCGTGGTAGTTGTGTGAGGTATCATATGGTCGACCCGTCCGACATTTTTTTTTCATTTTTGTTCACTTTGTTTTTGGTTT